ACCAGCCTGGTTCTCACGCGTGCACCGTTAACGTGCGGCAGACAATCGGCGGAGTATGATGCCAGCGAGAAGTTTAGAGACAATGTTGGCTAAACTAATTCCTCTGTAGTTTTCACAAAAGGATCTATCACCTTTCTTGTAAATAGGTATGATCACCTACTCACACCATTCAGCTGGAACCTCTTACCTTTCACATATTGAACCCGGGAGTTTTTGTCAACTCCAAGACTAACGCTGAGCCTCCACCTTTAAACGCTGATGAAAACAGCCCATTTGGACCAGAGGCCTCATGCCTTTTGAGATACTTTATTTCCCGAGAAACCTCCATTTCAGATGGAGGACTAGCGTCAACTGGGAGTATTTGTCCAAACGAGGCGGAGAGTGAAAAATAAGACGTCGATGGGGGCCAGTTGAACTGAGCCTTGAAATGTTCAGCCCAACGGTCAAGACGGCGTTGCTAATCGTGAATCAGTGTCATCGGATTCCTTAATTACCTCACCTACACGTATTTTCCTAGGGCCCGTATTCCTAATTAGATGGAAATCGTTACGACTATTACCAATACCCGCAGCTTTCGCCATCCCTTTACGCCTTTCTACCCACCACTTCTTGCGGTCATTCCTCGGACTCTTGATGAGCTGGTGTTTAAGAGAGTTGCGCGCTGTGTCGTATGTGGCATCCGGAGGGAGGGTTCTGTGGGCGTCCAGCAGGGCAACCGAGGTCGACAATATCCATCGTGCGTTTTGAGCTTGTGGCAGGGTCCGACGTTGTTTTTATCGATATCTGCATGGTCTCCTTGATTTGCTTCCAGTGTTCGGCTGGCGGTTGAACTGACAGGCGATCCGAGAGCTCTGCTTCGAATGCTGATTTGCATAAATCGCTGACACTATATCGTGGGTATCCGTTGTCGGTGGCTTTTTTGCGGTTGTTTGCCAGGAGTAAGAACTTGGCTCGTAACAATGCGTGGTCTGTATCCAAAGCTGTCGACCAGTAAGAGCAGCAGTCTTGAATTGATCCCCTCCAGCGGTAACTGATGGCGATGTGGTCGATTTGGGTCCAGCGTCGTGAAGAGGTTGGCGGTTTCCGTGTAAGATGGTGATGCTTCTTGTATGAGAAGTTCGTGTTTGACAAGAACAATCCGTAGTTGAAGTAGGCGATCTCCGTAGTCCGTCCGGTTGGCTGGGATTGCACACAGTCCGCCAAGAAGCATTTCTGATTCGTCCAGGGATCCCACTTGAGCATTGAAGTCTCCGGCGACTACTACGGCGTCCGTTGATCGAGCACTCTGAAGTAGTTGAGAAAGATCCTTGATTTCAGGTATACTGCAATCAGTCAGTGCATACGCCGATATGACGAATAAGCATTGACGCTTCGTTCTGTAGCTGTTGACTCGAACTGAACCGTTGAGAAGTACAGCGCACAATCGGCTACTGACTGGAATCCAGTCAGGGAGACTTTAGGGCACGACATACTTCGCGGTAGCCCACACCGGCGAAGGGGTTTTTCTTTGGGAACCCTTATTGGAGCCTTCAACTCAAGAGTCTGACCCACAAAGCAGTGGGGTGTAAATCAAACGCGGGAGCGTGAACGGAGCAGCCGTGTGAAAGCTTCTAGAGACCTGTCACGCAAGGCCTTTGAATTTCGGTTAAGTTGACTGTTCGCCGGTGCGTTGATTATCGGTTCGCTTTTCGGGATTGGCCCTTAGCCTCATGCACCCGATGAGACCGGCAGGACGTGGACGGGACACCACCTTGTTGGCTGGGGGCTGCCCAGCTTGGGCGGGCGGTAGCTGTCCAATGAAGTGCGAAGACTTCTCTCACCGTCGAGAGGAAGCCCCAGGTACCCCGCTCCTACGTCCATCTAGCGCGGGGTTTACGACCGGTAAACTTCCCCTCACCGTGGTTATTTGCTGGGTGTGGATAGAGAGAAGGAGGTCAAGAGGTGCCCAAGCAGCTGGCTTTGTGAGATTGAGCTTTGTCTGGCCTCTATCCGTTGACCTTTTACGCATGATTGGATCTACGGCTGTGGGAAGCCATCCTGTGTAGCTCGCAGGGTAATTGAGGCACGCAAGCCATCACATCACGTCAAGGTGCGGTCTCGTCGTGATGGCCTAATCCTAATCAGTACTAGCAAACTCTGCTCTGGGAGAGATAAATCCACTATAACACATACTCATCTAACCGAGAGATAGTTCTTTATATATTGTCGGATTCCTTTTCCGATTCAAATAAACAGCAAGATCTATCAGGGCAAAATCGTATTCAAAGCGTTCATAAGCGCATAGTTCAGTTAGAAGATATCAAATCCAGGCTGGAGAGTATAGCCTCGTGTTTATGAAAACGCCACAAAGGAAATGCAACAGATGAAGACTCGAAAATGCTTACTCCGTGGAGAACATGTTTCTTATTTTGAGACATTCCGTCGGAGGTGTGACGAATGGCGTTCTCTGCGACTTGTCCGATAAGGCTGGAAAATAAAAAAATAATAATAATAAGTGTCCTTTTACTCCCATTTTCTATTTATTGAATGTACAAAGGTACAGTCAACTTTCAGGAAGAGGGCTGCGGTCATACAAAGGCTGTCTGGGGAAATACAGATATATAGGGAAGACGGGCGGCAGTGGAGCGGTTTGAACCCGGGACACCCAGGTCACTCATTAGTTGATGACCTAACAGCACTTGGCCATCACTGCCGGTGTAATTATGCAGTGATACCAAAAGAAACGCGTGCAAGAATAACTTTGTGTGTGAGTGTGTGCAAATGGGACGAAAGTGGTAGAATTATCGATCGTAGTGGGGCCAAGAAATTGTTTAAAGTAATAATCGATTTCAAAAAGCAATACAGAAAATAAGAAACAATCAACTACAGTCACAGTTTAGTCAATGAGGCTGAGTCAGTACATCTGAGACCGTTTTTTTTTAATCGTTTCTTTAGGTTCAATAAAAAGATCACTACAGAACACTGTTTGTACAGGCATGTGAACACTTTACAAAGAGAGATAACGAAACAGATAAAAATGAAACTATGCATCGAATGTGATTAGGCTCGTATGACCGGGGCGGGGGTGGGGTGGGTTGGGAGGCAGATAATGAGACAAAAGTTGACGAGAGCCAGACGACGAACCACATGCTTTTCCTGAAAGAATCGTACGAAAATCGCATATTATTTGAACAGAACGGACTGTATGGACCAAAAAAGCCGCGGAGAAAGCAGAGTCACGGATGAGACTGGGGGAAACTGAAAGACATGCGATAAGAATTGATGAGTTGCGCAATTCTACATCAAAGAATTACCGGTGAGGTAAAGGATAGTAGAATGCACACAAAACACGGGGATCGGAAGAGAGTTATATACCTGGATCAAGTAGCGGATGAGCATGAGGCATACACACACTGGAAAGATCAAGCACGAACGCGGATCGAAATAGTCAAGACAGGAGGAGGACAGGAATACCAGAGGGGTACAAGTATGAAGATGACAATGCAAACCAGTGACATTAGTTGGCGGACGATACCTGATCGCCAAGAGCCGAAATCCGTCTCCGTGTGCTTTCGACCAAGCGTTTCCAGAGACCTGATTCCACCTACACAGGAACAAAATCTCATCAGAAAAATGATTTCTGGTGAGCTTAATGCGGTTTTCATACAATAATGGTCCACGTTACACCTAGATTGATTAAGTCACCCGATCCGGTTATCGCGACTTAGATGAACAATTACCGGTCACCTAATGTGATATTAGTTAGCGAGTCTTCAAAGATTCAAAGATTTCAAAGAGTCTCAAACAGCTTTGCACATAGCTACGTACGTAAACAGCAACACAATAACCACAAGTGCCTGTTGGGGGTTATGACGAAAAGTGAATAACAAAATCATACAAATAACATTGAAGACGACAATCAAACTGTAAGGTGAACAAGACTAGGTGAAGATCATGACGACCGACTGAATCATCAAGGGTTTGACACACACACACACANTAGTGAAGTACAATGGTGTCATCCTTGAAATGAACCTTCGCTTTTCCTTACATATCCAAACTGGTACTCGCAAGCTGTGTTCTTGCCTATCAGATAAGAAGACTGCGTCACTTCTGTTCTGCTTTGTCGGGGATAAGAGCTTTTGTTCAACAATGTGCTCTGCCTATAATCTCCTTTACTGCTCCCCTGTAATTTTCCCCGGTTTGCTGGAGAATGATTTCGCGCTACTGAAGCCGTGTTTCCCAAGTTCCGTTATCTGTTCTGATAAACAATATCCGTGATCAAATTGATGCATGCTCGAAGTTAGCCGACGAAATTATATCTGATTGCATCCATTCCAAATACACACTTATCCCATTTCGGATATCTGCCTACTCATCCCCCTGGTGCCCTATCTTGCCCGGACGGACACTGATAGACAGGAACAGTGTTTGTTCTGATCTTTCTAATGCATTTTGTAGTTAAATCACATTCTGTGCACGCCTGATGTCTCACTTTTATGCCTTTTTTGTCAACATTGGGACGGTGGTTTATTCGTTCTTATACATAACTCGCTGAAACTTGAGTACAATACAATACAGTGTGAACCAGAACAGGACTGCGAACATGTGTTCGCTCACAAAAAGTTGAGTACACTATCTATGGAAAGGGAACCCCACAGATCAGCCTCTTCTGAGCATGAAATGGTATTAATTAGCGATGGAACCTAATCATTGTCTCCTAAAAGCTACCATCTGGTGTGTTACCCTGCATCGGCCCAGACACTCTGGGTAGGACGCGTCACAGCGGCCCAATCGAGTTCTCAGAGAGAACATCAGCACCGGGAAACTCATCGCAATTCATTTCAGCATGTCAGTAAACAATTTTTCTTATGTTTCCATGCTATTATCGCCGAATCATTAATGCACCGATTACGTTGCACAGGAACTACGCGATGCACAAGTTACGGCATCACGACTAAAGTCGAGTAGTGGGTTTCAACAAACCGGGTTCATTAATCTCTATTGTCTTGTCACAATTAATACCATGATCCAATAGGGGGAAGTATAAACGCGAAAAAAGCCGACTCTGGATAGGTGCTGATAACAAGCGGAGACCATACACTTCCAAAGCAGACGGGTTTCTAACCAAGGACCACGCTCATCAATGCGCTCGCGAGTGGAAATTCGCGGTGAAGATCTAAAAGGTTGACATTTCATTGCCGAGGTCAACGTCGTCTAAAGATATCCATACACTTAATGAGTGGTCGCGTCCAAGGTTACCATACACATATTACAATCTCCCCCCCCCCAAACCAACCAAGATTTTGTACGAAGAACGCGAGTGGAAACAGCGGATGGGAACAACAACAAAACGTCATTGTTGAGTAATTTAAAATGCAATGCAATATTTGACATGTAGACTATACTTTAGCCTGTTTACTATTGTTTACAACGGTGTGAAAAAGATTATCCTGTGCTTATCAATTATCCACTTCACAATATCACCAATTACCAACGAAACGTTAATCAAAACAAGTAACCGGCAAGAGAGCCCAGCCGGTGGCTGCTCACTACTGATGAATACAGTAACAAACAAATTTTATCCGTATTATCAAATGATAACGACCCCATTTCACAGGGCTCGGTACCACAAAAGTATGTTGTCCTTACCACACACACACACACACACACACACACACACACTAATAAACAATGAGCACGTAGCAATTGAAATATCGGAAGCTCACATTTAGAGCTCACGGGATTCCGACTAAACATGTAAGTATCTCGGAAGATTGAAGTACAAGTAAAATGGGCTCGTACAAAAGTCGTACAAAGTACAAATAAAAACAACAATCGCGTAAATTTATTCGAATTGGGGGGGGAAACCACAAGGACAACAAAAACAGGTGTTTGATCAGATAAAACATTCCTTGATCAGAAAACTAGTTGAACTGCAGTAGACTTGAGGAGCCCAATAAGAATAGGATGCTACTGAGCTGTCTGAAGTTATGACAAAAACACGAGGGAAGTGTCCCCCTCCCCCACCCACCCCCAACACACATGGTATCGGTATTGCATGACTGGATTATCTTTACTATGATGCATGACAGACAGTCGGATAGTGTACGACAGGTTGCTATGATCATCACTGTAGACCGATGCCACCGACTAACAAATAAATCACCGAATATGATTTATATAACTCTCGTCCCAATACTCGGACAAAACGGGAACGAAACAGACTTTCAGCGATGATGGGCGAAACAGTCTAGTTAACAATGCGTCACTTTACCGTTTAAGGCAAATCGTTTAAGGAAGAGAAAGAGTTGTGTCACTCGGATAACTATTGGGTCATCTATCAATCGAATTTTTATGATCAAAATTTTAGTGGTAGTTATATTTACGTCCAATGATTACAGATTCCCTCAATGTCGCTTAGCCATTTTGCGCAATCGTGCGTCCATGTTGAATGAATCAAGCATAGATAAAATAATGCACAGATAGCTGAGAACAGTGTGAGGAAGAACTAGATGGATCCGAAAGAGGATTTTCCAGATGTGTGCCTAACACTTTAGGGCAAGGCATACTTCGCAGTAGCCCACACCGACGAAGGGCATCTTGTCAATTTCTCTGCAACATTATTCCACTGAACTTCTCAGTTGTTTCTTTGATCCTACCTTTAACATTTCCTGTCTTCCTCCCAATGTTCATCCAAATTGGCAGACAAAAGAAACCGGCGTACATGGTTAATGGTTGTACAAACTGAAACTGAAGAATAGTGTGTGTGTGTGTGTATAGAATCGAACGGCATCATACCACGTCGATTTGCGCATGGATCTTGGGATTTTGCACCAAGCAAACAAAACATAAACAAAGAATGTTCTGAAGTGGTTCGGTTTTACGGACCGGTGCTCCTGTCTGGAACCTCCCAACTACGCCAGGTGTCGAATCATTGAAGCTTTAAAATCCACAATATACATCATTTTTTTATTACACACCTAGATGTGATGAACAGCAGACGGGGAGAACCCCGTAGTCACGAAGACCTACTGTTCAGTGATGGAAACCGGCAACCTAATCCCCGGGACTTGGCGTGTAGAACCACATACGGCCCCGATAGGTCAGGCGTGGTATTGAACCGGACGACAGCAGAGCTGCCTACCACCAGAGTTAAGTGGTGGTGACGGGGTTTGAACCTCGGACCATAGTGTCCGAACTACGCCGGTGACAGCGACTAAACCACTGCGCCACCACCACCATTATCCTAGTGGAATCCGAGCATCGCTCTAAATCACTGTACCGCATTCGGAAACATAGAAACCAGTTCCGAGTGGTTGTGCCCATTACGAGAACGACACGATATAGACTGAACTAATGATGGTGCGAGATGGCTAAGGGATGATGGGTAAAACATTCGGTACAGGATTGTTTGGATGACGACGTGTATTAACGACAACTTGACCGTGAATACAAATTATCTTTCTCTGGCTATCATACCGACCGAATGCGACTAGCGGCGCAAATCGCACGCTCACATACACAGTAGAGAGAGAGAAAAAAAGAAACTTCGGTGAACAGAGAATCCATTTTTCCACCGCAACATAGACTGTACATCAATAGATTGCATTGAAGTACGTTTCAATAAAATAAATTTGAAAACAAACAAACAAGAGATTCAACACAAAGGAAAGAAACCAAGGGAAAAGCATTGCACATATATCCGACACGGATATGGGAAGAATGTACGAGAGAATGCAAAGTTAGATTGAATCCCTTGAAATCATGGCAGTGGGGTGGGGTGGGTAGGAAACTGAAGAGGTTTTAGGTGAGAGAGAAAAAACTAATTAACAATTTGCTGATCAAACAGGCCGTGGTAAGTGATAACCGAGTTCACCGACTACTGACTGATATACTAATAAACAAGCGGCTGATCTCAACTGTTTTTGTTTCTTGGGACGACAAGCGAGTATCAGCAGCAGCAGCAGCAGCAGCCTGCGATTGATCTCTCTCGCCCCTTTTCAATGAGCATACGCATTCCGGTAGCCGAGGATAGAACCCCAACGCCAGTACCAGTTCGAAGCTAGTCAGAGGAGACAGTTTTGCCGGATATAACAAGTGAGTCAGTCAAACGGACATGACAATGGAGAACCAGTTGAGTTGAAATGACCGTTACTTACCGGATCCTTGCCAGCCAGTTCCACCTTGCCACTGCCACGTTTCACCGATACCCCGCCATTCTTGAACACCGATACACGTTTCCACATCATACACGTAGCGCACGACATCGGGCCACAACTGTGCAGCGCTGTGGAGTTTGAAAAACAGAAGTTATACCAAAACAGCTCTAGGATCCCGAAAAATGGACATGGACAATTTCGTGCGCCACAAGGGGGGTATGTACACACACACACACACACACACGATAGTTTCAATTACATCTGTTACGTTAGCAATGGGGAGTTAGTAGTATGAGTACGGACAGAAAGTAAACTCTATCGTGAATGAAATGATCTGGGAGACACATGCAAATGGTCAATGAGCACAACGTACAAATCTGTAGAACAAGGGAATGGAGGAAAAAGTGACCGATAATCATCATGATGATCATTATGATAACTACGGTATAGTCCGGGCAAGTAATGGTCAATTATGTTTTAAGAAGTCAGTGCCATGTTGTCGATGTGATTTGGGATGAAAGCGATGACCAGTGTGGTCTCGGTGGTGCACGGGAGGATATGGAAAAGAGGCAGTGTGCAATGCCCGAATCGCGGATTGTCAGTCATTTTACATCGGGGAACTTACTCCGTGTGCTGTTGACGCAGTCGCTCACGTAACACATAGACCGGTATGTATGGCGGTTGTTCGGAATTGCTCTCGTTTTCGCGTAGTTGTTGTTGAAGCATATCTGGGGAAAAAACCGGAAACAGTTCAAGGGCTTAGGAACATTTGAAAAACGCGGAAAACAGAACTCATACAGTCAATACCGTGATTGAAAAACGGTTATCTGTGCTCGATTAGCAACTGACAACAAAACACATTTACCACTTACGGACCACACTGGCAACCAGATCTCGGATTCGAGCAGAATGCTTCTCAGCCGCTTGAAGGCGTTTGGTACGAATCCAGCGTAGGAGCAGGACGAGTCCGATAAACAGAGAGAGGGCAATCAGCACGCCGAATATTGTAGCACAGAACCAAACCAACCAATTGAAAAAATGCCGCAGTCTGCAAGTGCCTGAGAAGTACGGTTGTAAGCTCTCCAATTCGGAAACATGATGCGGAGCACTGTGAGAATGGAGGGGAGGTGGGGTTTAGGTGAAGAGAGAATGCGATCGGTAAAACGAGAGATGCAACAAAAAAATAAAATCCAGAATGTGTTTAAAAAAGAGCACTAACCTTCCGGGACCGAGTTCTTTTCCGGAGGCATCATAGCTGGCAATGTTAAAATGGGCTTTGCCCACGTGTAGAATTAGAAACAGCACGTGTCTCCATACTGTTTTGAATTCCTTGTTGGGCAACTTCGTGAGATCCGTATTCAACTGGACTAGACCTTCGGCTGAAATAACAGACATCCGAGGACTAGACAGACGATTCTGTTTGCAATGATATTCACCTGAAGTCAAAATGGGGTGAAAATAGGTTTCTTTTCAACATATAATCGAATTGTGAAAATATCGGTCTGAGAGAAAGAAGGAACGAGGTACAGATATCGGTGTATCATAGCTGCTTTACAAAATATTTAAACAATGGCAACACGTTAAAATCATACCGGTAACTTATTCGCACACAAAGCTGCAAAGGAAACGCAAAACGAGAAGCTCAAACGTGCTGTCCAGTTGTTTCGACCTCATTCGGTTTGATCCGCAGTGTGAATTCATCCAGCTCGCTGTCGCATTGAACTCAGTTGGTTAGGACAAATACAAATGAATAAAATCGTCTACTTTTTTTACACTGAAATTAACTTTACACGATGGCTACACCAAACAACGCCCCATTTCACCAAACACTTAGAATGCTTGCTCTCGAGTCTAATGCGTAGGCTTATGCGCACAAAGGTTGATGCACCACCAATTTTCACTCATTTATCACCCGTCTCTCCCACACATCTTACAAGGAAAACCGACTTTCTTCGCCGAAATCCAAAAACACGGAAGCTGTTT